ATATATATATATATATATATATATATATATATAATTGTTTCTTCTGGGGTACTACTCAAATAAATCAGTTTTGAAAGTAATCCATGAAATTTGCAAGGTGTACAAGATCATTTTAAAGAATGCTCTGGAAGAGGCTCACAAATCAGAAGTGTTTGATATTCTGCATTCTACGTTTTTCCTCTTATTCGCAAATTGTGATTTGAACATTTTTTTTATAGGAAAAATACTATTATTGTACCCAATAGAAATTAAGAAGATACGTGCATTTATGGCGGAATTTATTGCAGTTACTGTTTTGTGATCAATTTTGTTGCTATCAACTTTTATGATTATTATTTGTTAAAATTTTGCAACTTGTACTCATTTTTTTCATGTAAAGCTGCCTGCAAAAGGTTGTTGGATATTATTACACGTCTATAAATTTAAAACTAAAAAGCTTTTTTCCTGTAAAAAGCGGTGTTTGGAAATAATAAGCCGCTTAGTTTTTGCTGTTTTTCTTTTTTGCATTTTGTTAGTATTTGATTTTTTTTTTAAACAATACTTGTCACCTTTCATTGACTGAGTTTAATATTTAAATAAAGATCAAGCTTATTTTGAACACTCGTATACCAGAGATACAGAAATTTGAACCAAGTTTGCTCTTGTTTTTGTGTCATTGAAAATTTTTGCTTTTGATGTTATGTTGGCGTCCTCGTTACTTGTAACAGTATATAGTTCCACTTTTTTTCTCTCTTTGAGGTCATTATTTGTTTACCCAATCTTTTGAAGTTTTCTACTTTTATAAATTTTTAATTACAAGTAGAAATTACTGGAAATTTATGAACCTTGTTTGAAGCTTTAATAGTCTTGATGGGGCTGTAAAAAAAATTACGTTTTTTTACCTTGAAATAAAGGGCCAATGATTTGATAATATTGGAGATGGTGAAATACTCAGAAAACTTTTATTTGCCGAAAAAAATTACGATTATTTCAATGAAGCGTTTCTTTTTAAACATTCCTCAATTATTTCTCTTAAAACAAAGGTCCTTTTGCTGGTACTTCCCCAAGTAGTTTTTCTTTTCAATTATTATAGGGTTATACTTCCATTTTTACAAATTTTCCGAACTGTGGATCAATTTAATTAGGCCTGTTTAAAAAAGTTCAATTAGGATTTCAAAGGTTTCGTTTCCTTGTACTCGCTTTGACTCGCGAAGGAGGACGAACTGAATGAAAACAACAGAAAGCCTAGTAACAAAAAATTGATGAATAAGTCTTTTTGGAATGACATCATATGCCTGAATTTATTCTTCAGTTCCCATCTTTTGAACAGCTAATAGCTAGTATATTCATAGCTAATTTTCACTACTGAGAAATGAATTTATTTCCGCTTCCAGTTGATTTGAAATGACAGTAATTATGGTATGCAGTTCAAACAGGACTAAAACCAAATCTGGCTGGTGTATTATTTTGTGCCTTTGTCTTATAAAACCATGACAGTTCGATGTTCAGGTATGGAGTCGAGGAACGAAAACGCGCTTTCAACCGGTGACATCTCTGTGGATGCTTTTTTGACGGAGCTTATGAGCATTGACTCCACAAGCAAATATGAAGGTTTGATAGCACTCATTTTGTCCATGCAACGTATGGCTTCTCATAACCGGTAGGCAAAATTAATTTGCTTCAGAGAAATCAAGCTTTGAAGGGAAAATGATTGTTCAGGTGCTTTGACAGATGAACTGGTTAAATATTTCCAAAGTACAGGCTGGTATGTTCACGAGCAAGCTTTGACGAGCGATCCAAGGAGAAGAAACTTGCTAGTAACAAGGATACCTTTCAAGGCACCAGGTAAATAAACTTTTGCTTCAACAATATAGTCTGAAAGCTATGAAAACGTTTAGGTCCAGTATACTTAATGAACACACATTTGGACACAGTTCCACCATTTATTGCTCCACAAAACGACGGTACAGTAGTCAAGGGAAGAGGAGCTGGTGATGCAAAAGGTCAGCGCAGCTGAGAGAATAAACTGTAAAGTTGTTACTTAGGACATTTGGAAAATTGAAACACCACAAGCAGAGTTTTAAAAAAAACGTTTTCAAATTTTTTCAAAGCCCAGACATTTCTTGACAAGGTTATTATGTAAAATGACTTTCCTACTAGTACTCCGACGGCCATATCAAACGGATTAATTATTGCTTGACAGCGATTGATCCAAGTACTGTAGCTAACTTTCTACGCCTACTACAGGTCAGCTGGCTGCTATGATTTTCGCAGCACAACGAATTGCAAAGGAAAGTCCTGAGAAGTCGCAAAAGCTTGGTCTGCTTCTAGTTGTTGGTGAAGAAGTTGATCACGTCGGAATGATAGTAAGTCCCATAATGTTGCTTCAGTATGAGCACCAAATTTTCTCCGTCATTTTTCTTTTCATACTCTACAGTGAAATAATTTTTTAAAATGTCTCGGTTGAGCTCATGTGTCCTCCACAAAAAAAATCAAGAATTTGAAAGACTTCATGAGGGGGTTTCGGTTATGCTTTTCAAATGATAATCCTGCAACTTCAGCTGTCAATTAATAGAGAGAAAACCTTCCCATTAAAGTTACGTAAGATGGCGGACGAAATAATACAACTGGTGGCAAATGTGTAACTGCAATTTTTTGCGTTTCTCTATCTTGCTTTGATGGAAACAGGAATAAAGCAAAAGAGTCCAATATAAGGCGATTTCAGCTGCAGGCTATAAAAAATCCCCTTGTTTCAAGGACTCGGTTATTTTTTGCCCTTAAAAACCAGAGTATTTAGGTAAAATGATAACTAATGTTTGAAATACTTCAGTATTTAGATCCTTCCAACCTGTTATTTCAAACCGTCTCAACTCATTCCTTTTTAAATTAAAACTTATATTCTGTATCGACAAAACTAATTTTTATACGTTTTAAATTTCTTTTGAACTGGACGCTTCAGCAACAGAGAATTCTAACGCAAACATCTAATTTTAACCAAAAATGGTTACTTGAATTTAAAACCAAAAGGCGTACCTGATTTGGTCACAACCCAGACCTTATTCTCAAAGAGTTACGAAAGGACATGAACTACTAAATAATGAAAAAGAGACTCAAAAAATAGTGGGGATTTATTCAGAGCTATATTCCAGGAATTTGACTAAATAATGTCCTGTTTAATTTTTTTAGTTTCGATAAATTCAATTACTTAGCGTTTTGATGAGCACTGTAATCTATAAATTGTTTGTAAGTAATTTGCTCCGCCGAAAACAGTCGCAGAAAACCATTTTCTCCACGCTATCAGACAGTCTAGGTGGCACGAAACTTTTGCAAGGTTTCACACAAGTTGAATTCTTTTCATATACTGTTTGACTACTCAAAAAATTATTCTGGACGGACAATATCATCAATAAAACTCACTTAAAAACCTTAACGAAAGATTTAGTATTTCCGTTGCCGCTATAAACAAAGTAATTCTTGCTTACCGTCCACATAAATATGTATACTATGTATACTTTGCATGGATTGCCTCACGAAAACCCTATCTAATCTAACGACATTAAATAAATACAATCTAAGATTCCTGAAATTCTAAAAAAGATTAAAGTTTTAAAGAAATACTAGACTGTTGAGGATCAGTTTAGTATAAGGACGGCTATATAAAACAGATTATACGCTAATTGTCAATAACGAAGCTACTGCTCTATTTTTTTTCACTGTCTGCTATCGAAGAAAGAGAAATTGTTCGGCTAACTTAGAAATATAAGCAAGAACAAAAATGAGCCTTTTCTGATTTCTTTCAAAAAGCGGTAACAGTTTTCTGCATGTATTACCTTTAACAGGTGTCTGTGATATCAACTAATCAACATTTAATAACACTTGGTGAATAGTTTTTGAAAATTTCAGGATCGTTTGAAAAGTGCCAGCAATAGAGGTAGATTAAATTTCTAAAATACGGCCTAAAGAATAGTTTAGGGATCAATTCTGAATAAAAAAATCAAATCATTTCTCATCATTATTCGTTGTAGAAAGCTAATGATCTTGCACTCGAACCTGATTACTTGGTAGTTGGCGAACCAACTGAACTCAAATTTGCACGGTTGCAGAAAGGAGCCTTCAAGGTGAGCTACACACTTTTTTTACTGCCTCCTTAGTTACCACTAATTCTAAGCTTGGAATAAGTGATAGCGATGCTATTAAAAAAAAAAATTTCTCATGCTTTCAAACGGTTAATAGCAAAGAATAGTATCGCCAATTCCCTGACCTATGCTACTTTTTATTGCAATTTTCTATTACTCAGCTCTGACAGTCATCAGACGTATTCAGTACCTCTGTCGCTTAGCAAGCAAAAAGATTTAAAATAAAACAAGGTATACCCTAGGTAATCTTGAAAGCTCGAGGCAAAGCAGCCCATTCTGGATACCCTCACTTAGGCGAAAGTGCCATTAATAAACTTCTTGATGTTCTACAAGATATTCGAACATATCCCTGGCCAAACAGTGAAAGACTCGGTATCAGCAACTTCATGTAGTAATTTTAGGAAACAGTTGTCTGATAAACACCCTTCATCAACCTGCGTAATTCTTTTCATGCTTTTCAGGCGAGACAACGGTGAATATTGGCATGATATCTGGTGGACAAGCCTTGAATGCATTGGCAGCATCAGCGACCGCCTCACTGTTCTTCCGTGTTACAACTTCCACGGCGGATGTGTATGAGCGGTTAAAGGAAATTGTTGCAGATCGCACAGAAATCGATCTCTCGTTTGGGAAGAACGAGCCCATCCATCTTA